TGATGCAGATGTACGAGCCTTAGTACTACAAAAAAAAAGTTCTTAGTAGTTTTATGAACGGAAGCATACCTTAATGCATGGCAAACACCCTCGATAAACTCCTATTCCCAAGACACTTAAACATACTGCACTAAGAACAATGTCTAGACCATGCAGAAGAGACAAAACACTTACTTCATCTCAATTTACAATGGCCCAATATTGTTTTATCCCATGCGTATAACTGCTCCTGTCACTGAGACTAGGGCAGCAAATAAATGGGAAAGAAAAATTGTACAACTATTTGCATGACTTTATTATTTACAGAAGCAGCTCTTACTTTTTGATTAAGATCAGCTCATCATCACAAATTCTCTCCTGAATCACCTCTTCTGCTTGTCCCAACATTGTAGCGTCAAAAGTTTCTTCCCCTTCCAAATTGGCCAGGGTGGATAGAACACTTGCTGTAAGAGTTACAATGATATATGTTGTTCTCAAGATTTCAGTGTAAGAAAGTTAACATGATAAAAACGATGCATTATTTCAAGCTTACAGACAAGCACCTATAATTCTTTTTTTTTTGGTCTTTGTGAGATAGGGTCTCCCAATAGCCCTAGCTGGCCTGGAACTATGTAGACCAGGCTGGCCTTGAACTCAGAGACCCGTCTGCCTCTCCCTCCCGAGTGCTGGGACTAAAGGTGCGCATCACCACACCCAGCTTAAAAGCACCTATAATCTAACCTAAGTAAAAAATACGTAATTTTTTGAGGCAAAAAAACCATCAGTTTATGTATTTCCAACAAACTCAGTATTAATCTTCAGTTATGTGAAAAATGGATCTATAAATATACTCATTACAACAGTTAAAGAGTAAAAATGATGGTGCTGCAGAGATGGCTCAGTGGTTACAAGCACTGGATGCTCTCTCAGAGGATCCAGGTCTGGGTCCCAGCACTCATATGGCAACTAGTTAACATTGGTGCATACCTCCAGTTCCAGGGGATCTGACCCCTATTCTAACCTCTGAGGGCACTGTGAGTTACACTTACACATATACACAAACCACTCATACACATAAAGAGTAAAAATGTTTTTGAAGCTGCTTGCTCCCAAAATTCCAATGTAAAAAAACATGACAGTCACGCTAACAAAGTACTTCATCTGAAAGCTGGTGGAAGACTTACCTCCAGAAGCTTTAGCAATACGTTTAAGGTCCCTTTTTAAGACCCTTCTAACTGCCATGGCACCGGCCTCCACAAAATACTTCAGACACATGTCATCTATTCCACCAGTGGTTAGAATGACATTGGCACCAGTTGCCAGGATCTTCTGAATTCTCTCCTTGGTGATATCTGACTCTCTACAGAGAAAGTATTTTAGCAAACCAAAATCATGTTCAGTTTTTAAAAATAATACAGCTGTAACTTTCAATCATTATATATTAACATATAGTAACTGTTCTTTGCCAACTAAAATTTATGCAAAAGTTCAAGGACTAAAAAACCACTTTGCTCTTTCAACTCCATTGGTTCTTAAGAAGGATAATTTAAAGAGACATCCCTTTTGCACCTCCTTCCCACCTTCAAAGAATGTAGTAGACATTACTAATGATAATCCCAGGACAGGCATCACTTAAGCTGTATGAACAGAGAATAAGCATGAGAGACCTAATTGTAGCCTATATGTTAAGAACGAGGTTCTTATGAACTGGCAGAAGTTAGGCAAGATCAGAAAATGAAGAACCCAAAAGATTCTAGATGAGAGCCAGGCGTGGCTGTAAACACCTTTAATCCCAGCACTGGGAAAGCAGACGCAGGCAGATCTCTGTGAGTTCAAAGCCAGTCTGGTCTATATAGTGAGTTCCAGGCCAGCTGGAGCTACAGGGAGACCCTGTCTTTAAAAAAAACTGTTTGATGGGAGGCAGAGGCAGGTGGACCTTTGTGAGTTCGAGGCCAACCTGGTCTATATAGTGAGTTCCAGGATCCCAAAAGGAGCCTCTGGTATTAATGTGAAAATAGTACCAGAACAATGAACGACTTCAGACAGAGACAGAAGTAGGAGATACAGCAACGTGTCAATGGCAGATAATTTAAACAGAAAGCCAGTTTATGACACAGGTAACTGGGGGGTACAGCCAATGACTCCTGGAGCAAATTACAAGGCTGGGCCAGGTTGGGCAATCAGCTCAGTTTGGGAAAAGTCCAACAAGCCTCTGTTTTTCAGATGAGGCCACTAGGAGATAGTCACATACTATGGAGATCATAAGCAAACTGTAATAGACACAGATTCAAACAGTATTAAAACACCTAGCACATCTACATAGTGACATCCTGATCAGTGATGAACCAAATAACATCAGTCCAAGACTATAATGGAGTTGAAAGTGCCCCACAACGTAACGTCATACAAGTTAGTCAGTGCAGCGCATTACTGACAGGTCTACAGCCAGCATGGTACGAACTGCCAATCGTACAAAGACACAGCACATGCAGTCTGTGTATAATAAACAGATCTCAACATGGGTGCACTAACCTACATGCAGGCAACACACATAAAATAAAAATAAATAGCCGGGCGTGGTGGGACACGCCTTTAATCCCAGCAGATCTTTGTGAGTTCGAGGCCAGCCTGGTCTACAGTGAGTTCCAGGACAGCTGGGGCTACAAGGAGACCCTGTCTCAAAAAAAGACAAAAAAAAAAAAAAAAAAAAAAAAAAAAAAAAAAAAAAAAGAAGTTCAAGTCCACCAAAACACATTTAATACTCCTGTTGTATCAGTACCACACACATACTGCTAATCTAATAAATGGTTCTGACACCTTATTACTACCTAAGGACATCTCATTTTCACTTTACCATCACCTTGTCAAACACAAGTGCAATTTACAAACAATCTTTCAATAGATCAAACCTCTCAACATACCTCTGTCTAATTTGGTCCAATTTCTCAGGGTCTGTAATAACCACTTGTACACCAAGCTTCATTTTTGTTTTCTGCAGGCTGAAGTCAAGACAGGCAATTTTTGCATTAACTATTCTCTTTGGCATGCCTGTAAATGAATATAAAGTTAACACTAATAAAGCTAGGTAGGGGTCACAAAATATACTTATTCTTAAAACTACAATAAAGAGTAGAATAAAACCTTTATGTTGGGGCTGCCAACTTTATGTTGGCTCAGTGGTTAAGAACACTGACTGTTCTTGCAGAAGACCCGGGTTCAAATCCCAGCACCCACATGGCAACTAACTATCCATAACTCCAGTGTTCCGGGGGATCTGACAGCCTCTTGTCCTCTGCAGGCACTGCATGACACGGGTGCATTTACCTACATGCAGGCATAATACTCATACATGCAAAATAAAAGTATTTTTAAAAATAAAAAAACCTTGCCAGGTGTGGTGGCACATGCCTTTAATCCCAGCACTTGGGAGGCAGATGGATCTTTGTGAGTTTGAGGCCAGCCTGGTCTACATAGTGAGTTCCAGACAACTAGGGCTACATGGAGACCCTGTCTCAAAAAAGACAAACCCCACCCCCCCAAAACCTTTATTTTCTATATAAACATAATTTAGACATCAATCAATCAATCAATCAATCAATCAATCAATCAATCAATCACCTATCCATCCATCTATCTGGTCTTTTTGAGACAGGGTCTCCAGTGTAGTGGGGCTGGCCTGGAACTCACTGACATCCTCCTGCCTCTGCCTCCCAGGTGCTGGGATTAAAGGCATGTGCCACCACCCACGGCCTTAGACTGCAATTACATTAAACCTTAGGAGAGCTTAATGACAGTAGTGCACACCAACCTTTTTCAACTTCAACCCACTGCAATTTTTCTTTTTGCAAAAGAGGATCTCACCACGTGGCCCTGGATGGCCTAGCTCTTGCTATGTAGACCAAGCTGGCTTCAAACTCACAGGGATTTTCCAAGTGCTGTCCCCCATCACATTTTATGCACTGAAGTTACAAGGTGTACAGTAGGAAAACCACAAAAACCTACTTTGTACTATAGAAATCTCATTCTACGAATAAACCTCAAACCTTACTTACTCTGAGATCCCACTACACAGTTCAGCGCATAGCCATTGATCAGCATGCTTTCCGTTTGACTTCTGCCATGCGCTTTCAGAACATTAACAGAATTGACTGGATAGCGAGGCTGGCCTCTTGTATCTGTGTATTTAACAGCAAGTACAGCATCTACTACCATATTGGAGAAGAAATCACCATTTCTGAGCCAACAGTCAAGGATAACAGAAATTTTGAATGAATAAAAGATATGAAGACAAAGGTGATTCAAGGAGACTTTCTTTTAGCAATCTACTTCAAAGAAAAAAGTGCTATTATTACAGTCAAAATGATTACTGTCATTTACCACTACCTGCAATTACTTGTTTTATACTGCCTTTTCACTGTAAGAATGTTGGAAAGGCAACTGGCAGTTTCAGTCCTTTTTCTTTTACAAGAATATATATTTACATTACAGTGGTATTTTAAATTTCACTGAATGAAACTGACATTCTATAAAAACTAAAGCCTAGGGCTGGAGAGGTGGCTCAGCGGTGAAGAGCACTGACTGCTCTTGCAGAGGAGCCAGGTTCGATTCCCAGCACCCACATGGTGACTACGAACGGTCCTTAACTCCAGTTCCAGGGGAATCCGAAGCCCTCTTCTGACCTCCGAGGCACTACACAACATGGGTGCACTCACATACATGCAGGCAATACACTCATACATCTAAAATGAAAATAAAAACAAAACAAAACCCTAAAGCCTTATTTTTAAGAGCCAAAGAGGAAAAGGCCTAACAACATTTAAGGATACATTCCAATAATTTTGGAAGACATGGATGTCTTAGCAGCATTAAGCAGACAATCTCTTCCAAGTTCATCTGTGTTAATAATTAGGTTTTCACTGATATAGCGTACTGCTTCCCTGTTTAAAGTGTAGAAGAGACAAATACTTATTGAAACTTTGGGTTTCACAGCATTCAATACTTTGTCAAATATCACAGGCAACAGTTTTCTGTGGAGCCATTTCATATAGGAGGAGGACACGGAAAAGCCCTCCCTCTTCAGATCACAGCACCTTTACTCTATCCCATAAGCATAGCCACTAAGCTCTACTACAGGAGAAAATGTGGTAGTCAACTGGGAAGCAAAGGACTCTCTGACTTCAAATGTTACCACCTGGATAGTGAAATTCAACATATTCAAACTTAGTCATCAGTAGAAATACTGAAATACATTACAACCAAGACAAAAAGTAACATTTTCGTTGAATGCAAACCCTCTTACTTGCAGGCAAGTCGATAGCCACTAATGACTGACGTTGGATGGATTTTCTGTTTGACCAGTTCATCTGCATTTTTCAGAAGTTCGGCTGCGATAATTACCTGTTGAGGAAACATTGTTAACATTGTTTTAAGTATGTATGCACTCAATGTGCACCAAGTATACGTAAAAATATTAAAGGGACAAGTATTATTAACCATGACGGTCATGGTAGAGAAGTGAAGAACAGCTCACTGAAAATATAAACCACACACCGTCATAAAGTATTCTGTGCAAATTTGGCCCAAGCTGACATAAGCCAGAAAAATGCTAAGAACCTAGTTCAATATCACAATAGAATTTATGTTCATTACCTTGAGAGATTAAGTATAACAAAAGCTAAATTCCTGACTACTGAAATGATGTGTACTAGTCTAGGCCTTTCATTAAATTTCAGTCTTTCTTACAAGGTATACCAAGAAGCATTTTTCTTAAAAATTTCATTCACTTCTCTTGGGAGGAATTTGTTAAACCAGACCACCTGTATAACAAAGGCTATTTTTACATTTTAGAAAAATGCAGACCCTATTCCTTCATGGCAAAGTTTAGTCTATAAATACACTTTTCCTACACTTTGTTTTGCTCGTATTAACATCTTACCATACAGTCCTATACTAGTATGATGGATAATTCATGATGTTATTAATCACCTTTACCGGCTAAATATGTCAATGTACAGTGGCAAATTACCCTCTCACATTCCCATTTTGAATTCCTAAGATTTTCCACTAGCATTTAAAGAAAAATCTCAAACCTGGTGTCATTCTCTTCTTTAGATAATTCTAAAAGCAAGAAAGTATTAGAAATTTCTTAAGTCTCAGGTGGTAGCAGTGGGGGAAACAACTTAGAAACCATTAAAGAAATTCTTCTATGTGTGAACATTATCATACTGGGGGAGGGGGAAGCTCCCAAAATGTGTGATCCCAACATTTAAAATGAGGCCAACATTTAATTATCTCAAGTTTTTTTCCTACTTAAGATGCAGACTAGTTACAATGGTCAGTTTTCAGATGTTTGTGAAACTTCTTTTCCTTAAACCCAGAGCAAATGATTCTGTTATGCTTTCAACTCTGATAAAAATGACTTCTCAGCGCACGCCTGTAGTTCCAGCCCTTGGGAGGCAGAGGCAGGCAGATCTCTGTGAGTTCAAGGCCAGCCTGGTCTACACAGTGAGTTCTAGGACAGCTGGGGCTACAGGGATACCCTGTCTCAAAAAGACAGAAGACGAAACAACAACAACAACAAAAGAACCACCAAACTGTTCTCCCGGCTGGAGAGATGGCTCAGCAGTTAAGAGCACTGACTGCTCTTGCAGAGGACCGGGGTTCAAGTCCCAGGACCGACATGGTGACCACGAGCCGTTTTTAACTCCAGTTCCAGGGGAATACGAAGCCCTCTTCTGACTCCCGTCGCACTGCATCACAAGCGTGCACTCATATACATGCAGGCAATACTCATACGCACAAAATAAAAATAACAAAATTATCTTAAAAAAATTACTGTTCTCTAGGCATTCAAGGCAGCTAGCTACCCACCACTGAGGTAGTTCCATCTCCAACTTCTTTGTCCTGCAGGTCAGCCAGCTCACAAAGAACCTTAGCTGCAGGATGCTCTACTTCCAGTAACTTCAGGATGGTGGCACCATCGTTAGTAATGGTCACATCCTGAGAAAATGTGAAGGAAGAAACAGTCAACACAGAGCACAGCCCCACTAGGCTACATACTCTGCCTTGATACTTTCTAACACCAGCATTCAAAGGCTTCACAGAGAAATTAAGATTTTTTTTTTTGCCAAGGTTAACCAAGAACAGTTAGATATACTTACACCAATATCATCCACCAGCATTTTATCCAAGCCGACTGGCCCAAGAGAACTTTTAACAATATTGGCAATGGAAGCTGCAGCCATAACTGTAGATGAAAAAAAAAAAAAAAGAAAATTTGAAACCCCACTGCTCCAAAGAATCCAAAAACTAAGCAACACCCATCACCTAGGAAACCCTCTGATCAACAAGCACATTTTACACCAATATCATCCACCAGCATTTTATCCAAGCCGACTGGCCCAAGAGAACTTTTAACAATATTGGCAATGGAAGCTGCAGCCATAACTGTAGATGAAAAAAAAAAAAAAAGAAAATTTGAAACCCCACTGCTCCAAAGAATCCAAAAACTAAGCAACACCCATCACCTAGGAAACCCTCTGATCAACAAGCACATTATTACCACTAAAGTCACCTACTGAAGGACCAGTGAAGGAGGTTAACTATTTCCATTTTGAGTACTGAGACGTGTTTCAAAGCGTCCACTGCCTGGATATAAAAAGGCAAGAAGCAGAAGCCAGGTGTCGCAGCCCACCCCTTTAGTCCCAACATTCCGGAGGCAAAGGCAGGCGGATCTCTGCAAGCGTGTCCCAGGCCAGCTGGGGCTACAGCAGACCCTATCTTAAAAGACAGCACCTTTTCTTCAGCTTCTAGTGGGTTGTAAAAAGAACACTAGTTAATTAGCATAACCCACTCCTGAAACGAAAATGGAGTCCAAAGGGAGAAAGATGCTTTCTGTATTTCATGGGGAAAAAACGTTTCGTTAGTTTTGTGGGAGGCATTGTCAATGGCTGGATCCGGGTTTCCTGGAGCCCGGCCTCTTAAGGGGCAAGCACCAGACCTGGGTACCGGGGATCCGGCCTCTGCAGGTGTGCAAAGCAAAACTGGCCTGCATTCTGGGGCATTTCAGGGGTGATGGCTGAGGCTGCTCTCTTCTGAAGGGTCCTGAAACGACGCCTGGGTCTGGGAAGATCCAGCAGGCTCGAACCTGAACAAAAGGGCTCGGGGAGACCGGGCCGGCGCTGGTCTGCCGCCCCACGCGGGGCCGCCTAGGCCCATCCTGTGCACCTCTCCAAAACGTGCCATGTTCTCTAGAGTTCCTCCCGTCTAGGATCGGGCGCCATGACGCCGGGTCGGACCAGGGCTGGGACCGCTACCGGGAGGCGGTCACGCCGAGCGGGCAGCGCAGGCCTACCGACCCAAGCGGAGATTCGGCCCGCGCCGCCGCGGGCCCAACCGGGCTTCCCCCGCCCTTACCGTTTTGGGAGCGGATCGCCTCCCCAGTGCTGCGGTCCCCAAACACGGACAAAGGCCCCTCCATCTTCAAGGAGAACGGCCAACCTCGCTCACACCGCCTACAACCGGTATCTCGGCTTAGAGGCCTGTAGAGTGGCGAACGCGGCGTGAAGAGGACAAGCGACTCCGCCGGGGCTGCTGGGTAACGAGCCCCGCCCGCCTCGCCGCGAGTCTGGCTAAGCCGCAAAGCACTCTGGGAAGCAGGGGCACGAAGTCACCGGAAATGGGCCGACCAAAAGCTGGAGGGCTTAGATTTTGGTCCAATTAGAGAGCAGATAAGGGCGCGAACGTGGAAAACGGAAGTCAGGGTTTTCGGGCGCGGAGGATGGGGTCTGGCATGCCTCTTCAGGCTGCGCGTGCGCACTGATACATTCTAGTGCCTTCTAGAAGTTGGTGGAGTTGCGGTTAATGGATGGAGTAGGCGGGCCCTTCCCTAAAGAAGCCGCTACACGCTCATCTTTGTCAGGATTCCGCTTCGCTCCCGGCCCGGGAAGTCTGAGCAGGGTGGGGTGGGGCTTCCCGCGGCCGTAGGGGAAAGTGTCACGGAAAAAAAACACTTTTTGAGGAGAAAACCGCCCATTTTGCCAAATGTGTCCCAAAACGTGTGTCCCGACATGAGTCAAAATAACGGGCTATCAGGACTGCGTGTTCTCAGCTCAGCGCACCGAAGAGTCGTTACTGGAAACGGGCGTGGCCCCGCCCCGTTGCTGCGACGTGATTAAGGTCCCGCGTCGCAGCGTACGCGCTGATTGGCGGAGCAGAGATACAGACTGCTCTTTCGGCCACTCAGCATTAGGGAGCTTGCTAGTTCCGGGTCCTGAGTTTCCCGGGACTGTGGCTTTTCCCTAAGTTAACATGGCTGCCGGAGGTTCTTTACCGTGGTGACCGTGAGGCAGAGCACCGAGGCTTGGCCCGACGTCCCGGCAGCCATGGCGCTTCGGTCTCGATGCTGGAAAAGTCTGTTGGTTTGCAGGAACCTGGAGTGTGGGTTCTCAGCCCTCTCCACCCGCCCCACGCCTGCCGTGAAGCCCGAAGTGGAGACTCCGGAAAACGAAGCTATTGCCCCAGAATTCACCAACCGGAACCCTCGGAACCTGGAGCTCTTAGGGGTAGCCAGGAAAGAACGGGGCTGGGCGACAGTGTGGCCTTCCCGTGCGTTCTGGCACAGGTAATGAGTCCGCTTGGTACCGAGGGACATAGTAAACAGCACCTCTCAAAGCATTTTAGCAATTCATCCCCGACCCTGCCAGATGAGCCCGAGATTCCCAGGAAGGGGACATGGAGCGTTTTGCTTGCATGTGTGAGTGTGCACATGCGTGCCTGGTGCCGAAGGTGACCAGAAGAGGGTGTTGGGTACCTGGAACTAGAGTTAACAGATGGTTGTCACCCACCATGTGGGTGCTGGGAATTGAACTCGGGTCCTACGCAAGAGCAGCCAGTGCTCCTAACTGCATAAGCCATCTCTCCAGCTCTGAAATTGTTTTTTTTGTTTTTTGTTTTTTAATTTTTTAAAATCTCGATTTCTTCTTGTATTCCTGTTTAAGGTTTATATTAAAGTTTTTGGTTCGGAGTTAAATGCTCAGTGGTAACAGTGCAGACATGGTGATCTGAGTTGAGATCCCAGCATTCATGTGAAAAGCTGGGTGGGACTTGCACAAGCATTGTTGGTGATGGAGACCCAGAGTCTTAGGGGCTTTGCTATCACTGATGCCAGCCTAGCTCCAAGTTAAGTGAGACCCTGTCTCAAAGCGGAGTGACAGAACCGGGCACCTGAGGTTCTCCCCCTTCTGCACACACAGGTGCATGTGCACCACACAAATAATCACACTCATTCATAGATACACAAAACTTCAAAGGATATATATATTCCACTTCACATTTGTCTTGGTTAGGTGGAAAATAAAATTTAGGCTTAAGTGTAGAGTCATCAACTTAGCTTTGCCCTTCAAGGCTTTATTTGATATATATGTGTATGTAAATAAATAAAAACTTCAGAAATACCAAGTTTCTCTTTGATGACCTGAGTTCAATCCTTGGAGTGACAACTCCCTCAAGTTGTCCTCTGAGACAAACAAGAAACCAAGGTAGGAGGAAATCTTAACCTTTCCCATGTAAAATCCAGGTTATATTGAAGTAAATCAACTAAACATTAAATAAAATCTTTTTATTACTACATTTATTGATTTCAAACGTAAGAACTTAGGGAAGTGGTGGTGGGGCAAGCCTTTATCCATTGAACCATGTTGCTGGCTCAAATATTAAGTACATGAGATGCTTAGGCATTTATTTTTTTAAATTTTTTTTTTTTTTATTTTATGTGTATGAGTGTATTGCTAGCATGTATGTGAGTGCACCTGTGTTGTGCAAAGCCGAGGAGGTCAGAAGAGGGCTTCGGATTCCCTTGGAACTGGAGTTAAGGACGGTTCATAGCTGCCATGTGGGTGCTGGGAGTTGAACCTGGGTCCTCTGCAAGAGTAGTCAGTGCTCTTAACCGCTGAGCCATCTCTCCAGCCCCTCTAGGCATTTATTTACCTAAAGTAACTTAACTTTTGGGTGTGTTCTGGATAGCTTTAGTGTCAACTTGACACACCTGGGTTGAGGGAGCCTCAATTGGGGAATTTCCTTCATTGGACTGGCCTGTGGCCATGTCCATGGGGTACCTTCTTGATTGTTGAGTGATGTGGGCCCAGCCCACTGTGGGTGGTGCCACCCCTGGGTAGGCGGACGAGAGCAAGCTGAGCAGGGGCCAGGGGAGCAAGCCAGTAAGCAGCATTCCTCCATGGCCTGTGCTCCAGCTCCTGCTTCCAGGTTCCTGCCCTGAGTTCCCACCTTGGGCTCCCTGATGAACTGTGACCTGGGAGATGTGAGCTGAATAAACCCTTTCCTCCCCAAGTTGGTATTGGTCTGAGTGTTTTGTCACAGCAAAGAAGAAACAAACCAGAACAGGGTGCATAGATTGTTTTACAATTTTATTCTTTTCCCCTTTAGGTTGCGGGTTATAAGGACCCAGCATCATATAGAAGCACTCGTCGAGCATGGAAATGGCCAGGTTGTGGTTTCAGCATCTACTCGTGAATGGGCTATTAAAAAGCACCTTTATAGTACCAGAAACGTCGTGGCCTGTGAAAGTATAGGGCGAGTGTTGGCAGAGCGGTGCCTAAAAGCAGGAATCAATTTCATGGTCTACCAACCAACTCCTTGGGAGGCATCCTCAGACTCGGTATTTTTGTTTCCATGAGCTTGCTTAAAAGATATTATAACTTGGGCCTGATAACACAGGCCTATTTCCAGCTGCTTGGGAGGCTGAGGCAGGAGAATCTCAAGAATAGTAAGACCCTGTCTCAAAATTGGAAAAAAAATAAAGAGGGCATGGGGCTAGGGCTGTACCTTGGTGGTAAAGCACTTGCCTAGCATGCTCGCCACAAGATGTTATAGAGCTAGTGATGTAACTCCGAGAGAGTTTGCCTAGCATGTGTGAGCCTCAGCAGAACACACAAAAGATGACTTCTTTATATATGATATGTAATGTTTTCTGAGTGTTTTCCGTGTGCTAGACCTGATGGTGAGTATTCTGACAATGATAGTATTTAATCCTCACAATAATCCACAGGAGCTAATATTCCCATTCTGTACCCAGAGGTCAGAGTCAGTATGTGGTATATTTCAGATTCTATCTAGCCTCTGATGTTAACGAGGTACTTGTTTGTATAGTGACATACTGTCCGTGTTGAAGAGACTGGTCCCTGATGCCTTGTCTCTCCATTCCATTTTTTTCATGTCATTGTTAAGATCACTCATTGTAGTCTGGGAGGTCAACAGAAGCAACTCAGTGGTTTGTCTCTTGGAAACCCTTTCCAGCTTTCATGAGTGCTGACAATGTTCTCCCCTTTTTTTGATCTTCGAAATCAGATGAAGCGTCTGCAAAATGCCATGACAGAAGGTGGGGTGGTATTACGGGAGCCTCGAAGAATCTATGAATGAGATAGAAGTATTGACACCTTGAAAGAGTACATAGAAAACTATCAGCTACTACATCCACCGAAAGAAGTCACCTGCATTAAAAAGAGGAAAAGCTTCCTGAAAAACCAGACTGGAAGTTTTATACCAGTAATGTCACAGTGAAGATTATTTATAGTTATTCTTGCCCCCTTCTGTGTGGTTTTGTGTGACTCAGGAGCTATACTCCTTCCCTTGGACCTGTGACGTACCTAAGGAAATCATTCACTAGTTGTAAACATTTGAAGAATAAAAGTTTTATAAAAACATGCGGGCAAACACTCTGCTTATATAACTCTGAGCTCCTTGTGTGGAGTGCCCATGTGGCTTCTGTATCCACTGATTACCACTCCTGGTTCCTGGCCCATCATTTCTTACTGAGCACTGTTTGCTGCTCAGGATGTAGGGCAGTTTGTATTTTAAGTAGAAGATGTCAGTGTAATTTTAAAGTCAGAAATAGTTCTTGAAGACACTGCCCACATGCTCTGCTCCCTGGACTCATTTGATCTCTAGTGGTCACAGAAATCTTAGAGAAGTAAATGGAGGTGGGAACAGGCCATGTGTGCTCACTTGCTTTGAAGTCAGAATTCTAATCTGACAGGAGAGAAAGCTTTAGAAAGTCATGCAGGCTACCTAGGTTGGAGCTTGGGGGAGGTGGAAACTAGGCAGCTCTCTGAAAGTTGCAAAGTGTGAACTTTCTGGCTACTTGGTAGATAAGGAAAAAAAAACAACCTGTAAATAGTTAAAAGTGGCTTTTAGAAGATTTTCCAAATATTTTAATGTATACCTCAATTCTACATTTACTTGGTGAAATAAATTACTCTCAGGGCTGGAGAGATGGTTCAGCAGTTAAGAGCACTGGCTGCTCTTGCAGAGGACCCAGGTTGGAGTCCCAGCACCCATATGATGGCCAACAGCCTTCCTTAACTCCAGTCCTAGGGGAATCCGACGCCCTCTTCTGACCGCCAAGGATATTGCATGACGCTGGTGTACACATAACACTCATACACGTAAAATTAAAAAAAATTTTTTTTTTTTTGGTCATTTTGAGACAGGGTCTTCCTGTGGCCCCAGCTGTGGCAGAACTCACTGTGTAGACCAGGCTGGCCTTGAACTCAGAGATACACCTGTCTCTGCCTCCCCAGTGCTGGGATTAAAGGCATGTGCTGCCACACCACGCTCTAAAAAAATGTTTTTTCTAAAAAAATTACTCTCTGGTATTCAGTGTTCATTTAGAACAACCACAATCCTGTGTGCGTCACTTTGTAAGCTTGGCTCTGAGACCTCAGCATGCGCCCGGAATTGATGAATAAATGCTGTTTAAAGCTAAAGATGGAACTCTAGAATGCAGAGGGAGGGCTAAACCTTGGGCTGGTGACTGGAAGCTGATGCTAAGAGCACAGGAAGTGGTGTGGGCAGGCATGGGGTGGGGGCGAAGGACACCCTAGCTAAGCCATGTACTTAGCATGCCCTCATCCCAGCTTGCCCTCATGCAGCTGCATTGCCGCAGGCTATCCCCCTCCAGCGGATAAAGGCTACCCGCGGCGCTCCACGTGCACGAGCGCGCAAAAGGCCCTGCGCAGCGGAAACACGTGTGCAGCACGCGGCGGCATCCGGGCGGCCATGGACGTGGGCGCGGATGAGTTTGAGCAGAGCCTCCCGCTGCTGCAGGAGCTCGTCTCGGGTGCAGACTTCGTGGGTGAGGCGCCTGGGATGGCAGGCCGGTCCCCGGGCCCCCGCCAGGGAGCAGTGGCTCTTGGGGGTGTGGGAACCGGATGGAAGCGTCCTTTCCCACGGCTGCAGGGGTCCAAGCAATCCAGCCGCAGCCCTCCCCCTTTGTTTTCCCCACCACCCTGCGTGGGACACACCCCAGGCTGCCGTCCGACCCGCGTCCTTGGTCCCCGGGTGGACCTAGGTGCATGTAGGTCGCTTGCAGCACGTGCAGCGTTGCAGGTGGTGGTTGCCCCGCGCCTGGGACTCAGTCTTTTTGGCTCCCCACGCAGGTCTGGACATAGAGTTCACCGGTCTGCGTTCAAACCTGTCCCAGCCCCAACAGATCAGGTAAAGCTAGAGCTGTCTTAGAGCCCCGAGAGCCAGGACTCACCTGTGTCTGCCTAGAATCTAGGACCCTGGCCAGACCAGCCAGCATCGCTTCTCAGCAGGTGGAGGGGGGGTAGGACATTTTTTGTGGGTGGCTCCCTGCTGTTGAGGGACCTGGCTTTTGCTACTGGATGCTGTAGTGTTCCCTTAGTCGTGGGTACAAGGATAGCCCACCCCGGGGGCCTGGAGCCTGGATCCGATCACCGTGGCTGTGGAGTGAGACACCTGTTTCCTCACAGTCTTTTTGATTTGCCTTCTGAGTGGTACCTGAAGACCCGGCAGAGTGTACAGCAGTTCACAATCTGTCAGATTGGTGAGTGTGATGTTCAGCTGTTATCAGAGGGCTTTTACTGTCTGGGTTTCCTGCTGGTAAACCAGCTTTGGTCTTCAGGAAGCTGGGTGTCGTTTTCTATGCTTGTCCTGTTTTCCATCTTATCTTGCTTATATGACCAACGTTTTAGAACTAGCAGGTATTATTTCCAGGCCTAAACAAACCAATGTTGGGGAGCATCACCGTTAAACCTGTTCCACCTTCTGAATAAAGGTTGTATGTGTGACATTTTAAATTTTTTTTTATTTTTTCATTTTTATTTATTTTTTATTTTTTTGTCTTTTTGAGACAGGGTCTCCCTCTAGCATCCACTGGCCTAGAACTCACTATGTAGACCAAGCTGGCCTCGATCTCACAGATCTGCCTGCTTCTGCCTCCCGAATGCTGGGATTAAAGGTGTGCCCCACCATGCCTAGCATGTGTGTGATTTTTTTTTTAAGAAAATCTACATAAACAGGATACTACAAATATTTTGCATTTGGTTTTTTTTTGTTGTTTTATTTTTTTCTCTCAGATTTTGACGGAGTTTGGGGATCTTTCTGCATCAGCAACAGACTATTTGTGTATAATTAGCAGAAGTTTTCTTTGTGGGCTGCTTTCATGTTTACACAATACTGCACTTTTGAACACCTGGGATACTTCCAGCAGTGGAATTGCAGTTAGAGGATGTCCATTAAAGTACTGATATGTTACCAAAGTATTTCTTAACCAACTATCCACAAAGTTGTCAGTGATTTATACCAACAACAGTGTATGTGCTCATTTCCCACAGAAAAACACTGAGAATTGCCGGTATGAAATTTCTTGTTGTGGAAAAAATTAATTTTCTGATTTGTAACACCAGGGAGGGGGGCGAACAACTTCTGTGAAGGAATAGGTAGTATCTTAGGGTTTTCAGGTAATGTGATTTTTGTTACAATTACAAATCCTGCCTTTGTAACGGGAAATCAGCTACAACTAATATGTACATCAACCTTAACTTTTGAGGTAAAATGGTATTTACAAACACAGGCTATGGGCCAGTTTCTTCTAACCTCTCCTTTCGCTGTGAATGACATGTGTGTGTACACGTGTGTGTCTGTGTGCTCTCCCTCTGTCTTTGTCCTTGGCTCTTTTCTGCTGTTGGTTTTCTTCTAAGATCTTGAGAATTATTGTGACTCTGAGTTCTGTTTCCGTTCTTCCTCCATTTTGAAAACTTTATCCTTTTGAGTGTGATTGTCTAGACATTTTCATATAGTTTAATTTATGTCTTTTTTGTTGTTTTTGTGTTTTAAATTTTTAAATTTTATTTTTTATGATGTGTGAGTGTGGAAACATGTGCCATGGCTCACGTGTGGAGGTCGGAGGACAACTTTGTGGAGTTGGTTCTCTTTCCGCTTTCCAGGGATTGAACTCAGGTCATCCGGTTTATGTGGCAAGCACATTTACCCACTGAACCACCTCAATGGCTGGGTTTTTTTGTTTTTGTTTTTGTTTTTTTGACATATCTCACACTGTAGCCCAGGATGGCCTCAAACTCACAGCAGTCTTCCTACCTGAGCCTCCCAAGAGGGGAGGCTATGTGTCACCATACCATACCCAGCTTAAATTTGTAAGTCCTTATGCTTTCTGGAGTCTCTTTTAGCTGATAGTTTTGTTTTTGTTTGCCTTTTTTTTTTTTTTTTGAGACAAGGTTATGCATGTAGCTAACACAGATTCACTCCCGATTCCTATGTAGCCAAACCATTCAATTTCTGATCTTCCTGCTTCTACCTCTCAAATGCTGGAATTACAAGTGTGTGCCATCACACCTGACTCTTGGCTAGCTTTAAAACTATCAAAATGTTGTTTTAATACTTTGGTGCCTGAAAAATGGGCCACAATTACATTTTAGTAATTCCAGCACAAGCTACAATTTGGCAGTCGCCAAGCTTCAAGTCTTTCAATAAGGATGTGATCCTATTCTGCATCCCACACGGTCTGTGGAAGCGAAGCCTGCTTAGAAGAGTATTGTCTTTGGTTGACTTGGGGTGCCTTTGCCTCAGTGTTCGTTACTTCTGCTCTCATTCTAGGATTGTCTCTGTTTTCCAGTATTGAAGGAGAGTCAAACAAGTATGTATAAAGAGCTTTTGCAAAGCCTACCATTTTTTCCATCTGTGTCTGTCAGCATTTTCTCTTCAGACTCTAACTCTGGTGTCTGAACCACTTTGTCTTGGACACTGTTGGCTCTGACTTCTGACTCTGGCAGAGAAATCCCTGTCCTCTGAGGATTCCAGTTTACCCTTCAAATCTTCCTGGAAGTATTACCTTTTCTGTGGGGCCTTTCCTGCCTCTCTTGCACTGTATCTTTTTTAATTTTTTAATTTTGTGTGTATGTGTGTGTTGCCTGCATGTAGGTCATTGTACCCGTATCAGTGCCCACAGAGGTCAGAAGAGGCTGTCGGATCCCTTGGAACTGGAGTTACAGACAGTTGTTGGCTGCCATGTGGGTGCTGGGATTCAAAACTGGGTCTTCTGAAAGAACAACCCGTGTTCTTAACTGCCGAGCCATCTCTCCAGCCCTTGCCCTGTGTCTTAAGTGACCATGCTTTTGTCTCCATCAGCTGGCTCTTCGGCACCTTCGTCAGAGTAGTTAATACGGAGTGTTGCAATGAGAGCGATGTTTAAGCTGCCTGGCAGCACTCAGGCACCAACAGTCCAGAAGGATGCTCCACGTATGAGGGCAACCCTCGCTTGCCTCTGAGCAACTGCAGAGTCCAGCCTGCTATTCTCCATGCATCACAGCTCCATGGGCTGATCAAAGGCCTGTTTCTGCCACAGGCCTTGTTCCCCAGGGGCAGGACACTGCCTGTTTTCTTTGGCCCCTAGACAGAGTATAGTGAACTTTCAGCTAATAAAAAAAGAGCCCACTGGGGACCTGCCATATGAGCCAGAGCAGTTTGGTGGTGGTTTTTGTTTTGTGGTGGCTTGAGGTTTTTCTCCTTGTAACTGTCTTTTTCACAGGTATGTAGCCCATTCCTGTAACTTCTTCCTCTTCCCTACAACATTTGGGATTTTGGATTCAGAATTCTCTTTCCAGGCTTCTAGTGTTCAGTTTTTGAATCAGTATGGCTTCGACTATAACAAGGTATATGTGACCCTGGAGGAGGGGAATGGGGTGTGGAAATCTACCCTAGTCTGCCAGCATGGCCATCTCCCCTCCCTTCTCTTCCTTATCTATATGACACCAAGGGTTCCCCTCACTCTGCTCCCTGTCTCCCCGGATTCTGCTTACCAGTCTCCCTGCTCTGTTCTTGTCTTTAGTTTCTTAAAAATGGAATCCCGTATATGAATGAAGAACAGGAGAAGAAGATTAAGCACAGCATCCTGAGAGGGAACTGGCGAGTCCGGAGGTTGGTCTGCTTTTCCAAGTGCCTCTGGCTGTGCTGTTGCAGTGTGTTCTGAATCTCCTGTGGATGGGAATGCTGACCCCACAAGTGCTTTGACACAGCCATCCGTACTTAGCTGGGGCGGCTTTGGCTGCCTGTGCTGTCCTGAGCAGAGAACAGGCTTTCCTTTCATCTGCTGTGTGAATGTTACTTTAGTGTTCAGAAATTAAAGAAGTGGGCTGGAGATAGCTCAGCTGGTAAACAAGCACAAGGGCCTGGGTTTTATCCCCCAAATATGTGTTTTTGCTTTTGTTTTAAGATTTGTAATCCCAGCACTGGGGAGGCAGAGATGGGCCAATCCTGGGGCTTCTGGCCATCCAGCCTCACCTACATGGTGAGTTCTAGGCCAGTGAAAGACAGAAACCCTCTCTGAAAAAGTGGTGGATAGCACTTGGCAGGACACCCAAGGTTGTCTCCTGTCCCACCCCCAACACATGCATGTACACCTTCACAGGGGTGCACCTACCCATGTTCACACATATATATGCACTTCACACATTTATATGCAATGCACATGTGTACACACACACATATGATCCAGGCATAGTGGCACACACTGGAAATCCTAGCACTCAGGAGGCTGAGACAGGATGATCATGAGTTCCAGGACAGCCTGAACTACATAGGAAGACCTTCATCTCAAAAGAAAAAGAGGCTGTGGTGGTGCACACCTTTAGTCCCAGCATTCGGGAGGCAGAGGCAGGTGGATCTCTGTGAGTTCAAAGCCAGCCTGGTCTACACAGTGAGTTCCAGGCCAGCTGAG